AACCGCTTGAGCCACATCCCCAGCCCTACTATGTACTTTTTTTCAATCCTTTTTGTTTTCTATTTTGTAGCAAAATTTTAAAAATCTGAAAATAAATTATATGGTTCATGAGTGAAAGGTATTACTGAAAAAGAATACTTACCTGCCAAAATAACTTTTGAAGCATGTATACATCCATGTCATATGCAACATTAAAGATAATTACTGGTGTAAATATACCAAAAAATAACTCTGGGTTCATCCATTGTATGGCATCTGCATATCTTTGGATCTAGTAACATAAAATTCTTTTATTCTTATTTGTCCATCTCTTTCTTAGTATAAAATATATACCACACACTCCTATCTCTAGCAACGGAGAAAGAAAATCTGAAAATGTATCAGATATAAGTGGCACTCATCTGAAATCTAGCAACTTGGGAGATTGAGGTAGGAGGATCTCAAGTTTGAGGCCAGCTTCGGAAATTTATTGAGGTCCTAAGCAATTGAGCAAGATCCCTATCTCAAAATAAAAACTTAAAAGGGGCTGGAGATGTACTTTAGTGATAAAGCACCCCTGGGTTCCACTCCCAGTACAATTACAAAAAAAAAAAATCTGAAAAGTTATGACATAATGTTTGTTAAGTGCTAAAGTCTTAATTCTATTGGATTTTCATTATTTTCCATCTGATTATCATTGCCAATTACAGAAGAAAGTTAATGTACTTCTCTATGCCTATTTTATTTTTGTAAACAGGTATAGGAAACATTGACATAGGAATCAGAGAATACATAGTAGATTTTCAGGCATACAAGAGAAAAATTTCAGATGGATGGATTGACGCACAAATATCCATGAAGGAATAAATGATTATATTAAATTATAGAAAATACAAATATTTAGTCATGGCTTATATAGAAGATACATGTGAAAGTATAAAAGACTAACAAAAATAGAAACTGAAAAGTTAATAAAATATCTAATTGACATTAGTAAATCCGGTTATGGATATCCCCTCAACTTTCACTCATAAACACTGACTATTTTGGGGGTGATAATTTTCCACAAGTTACTTTTATTACTCCAGGTCTAATGAAAGCAGGCCCTGATTGTGTTTCATGAATACTTGTAAGGCTAACAGCCTTGGGATACAGAGCAAGAGTGTTTCTCCAGAGGAGAGTTCAGGTTTAATTTACAGCCGAGAATAATAAAAATAACTTCTCCCTCTGGGACAAGCAAGCAAATGATTTTACAATCCAATTTAAAAGATTCAGGTTCCCTAAACTCAGGTGTCTCATTTAATAATTCAGTCTCATTGGGTGTGCAGATTTCACTAACACTTCTTTGTTTCTCTTTGTGCAATGGGGATTCTGAGAACAAGCACAGGAAAAGGCTCATACTCTGATTATTGTTATTGCATAATAAATCCTCTGTCTCTAACCCAGGTATTCCCTGTCTTGTGCCTGGACCATGAAATTGTGGCAGGCTAGCTTGAAAGTGGAGTAAAATCTGACTCCCTTCACAACTCTTGACATGTGGTCTCTTCCTTTGAAGAAGTTACTGACAAATAATAAAGTTTATAGAAATAATTGAAATTGCATTTTTGTTAAAATCATATAATTATAAAACTTCTTTATGATAAGTGAAGTAATAACCTGCTTTTGGTTTTTTACATGAATGTGTGTTTTCTGTAATATTTTTAACATTACTGGCTAATTTTATTTGGGAAAGTCAATGATTTTCAGACAAGTTCTCATATCCATGCTGACTAACTAGGGTAGGCAAACTATAGATCCTGGGCCAAATCTGGCCTACTGGTTTTTGTGGGTTTGTTGGTAAATAAAATTTTATTGGGACCCAGCCATGCCACTTCATTTATGTACTACTCTTGGCTGCTTTTGAGCTGTAGTGATAGAGTTTAATAGCTGGACAGAGATCATAAGGCCCACATACTGTAAAATATTTTCTGTGTGGCCCTTCACAGAAGTTCGCCACAAACTCCTGGGCTATAGCTCTATTTAATACATACAGTAATGCATTCTATGTAACTTATAGTAAGCATTTTCCCTTTCTTCTCCCTGACTCTGTTCCCAACTATTTTAAAATACTACAGCTTCCTTGGCTATATCTGTAGTTTACCTTATTCCTCACTTCTGACTCCAGACAAGTTATTTTTTCATAAGTTCTACCCTAGATACGCTTACACACTATCATCTATTCTTAAGGAAACCCTATGAAACATTTCTGAGGCCAAAAGATGGTTCAATATTAGAATTATTTTGCTACTAAAATTCTGCACCAGCAGCACATTCTCCCTGAGCTTCTATCTTGTTAGCCAATTTCTTGTCTACGCTATTGAATTCTGCTGAAACACCCATTGGCCACTGCTGCGCAGGGGCTGTAGGCACGCTCATTCTGAGTTGCCTACATACTTTCAGTCGTGGGTTCTTCTTTGACTATATTTAGATGGATCTCATCTTTTTCAGCCCTTGATCCTTTTTCTATATCACAAGCATCTCCATCACAAACACAAGTGGGGCAGAGAGGGGACGAGTATTTTTGTAAATTTTCTTAAACCATCTTTGCATTTATGTAATTCTTATAGTGCAAAATACTCATTTATTATACACACCTGGAAAGATGTAAAACTTAGTATTTCAAAACTGCATCCAATTAAAAATAATATCACAGGGAGAGGAATTGGAAAGTCTTTCAAGTGCATGTTCAAAAATGCTGCAAAAAAAATGTTGTTACTGAAAGGCAATATAATATCACATATATAGAACTTTTATGTGCTATGATTTCTTAATACTGAGGATAATGAATTACTGTTCCATTGCTAATTTTCTATTTTTCTATAACTGGGACCTTCCCTCACACTTGCAGTACACAGAATCAGTGTAATTGTTAATCTATCAGTTTCTTGCTTTATTTCTCCCGTGATGTATCTCGTTTCCTTATCTTTAGTAACATTGCTAGCAATCATTGGTTGTCTGGTTTTTACTGAAATATTTATATTATTTTTTGAATACACCATAAATAAGAGGTTAGTTTAACTAGCAATTTTGCAATGAAAGATTAATGAATACATTTAATGAAAACTCCTGAGAAACATTATCATTGTTATCAAAGTGCAACAAATAAATCATAGCTTTTTCTTTCATTTAATTTTTTTCTGCTTTTTCATATATAATTCTTTTTTTAAAAAAAGAGAGTGAGAGAATTTTTTAATATTTATTTTTTATTTTTTCGGCACGCACAACATCTTTGTTTTTTGTATGTGGTGCTGAGGATCGAACACGGGCCGCATGCATGCCAGGCGAGCGTGCTACCGCTTGAGCCACATCCCCAGCCCCATATATAATTCTTAAAGAAAGTGAAAAAAAAACCCTGAAGAACAGCACTTTATTTTGGTTCTTTGTATCATAACTAGGCATAAATTTATCATTTGAGTATAACTCATGAGACATCCTACCCTAACATGTGATTTTCTGCTCATTTGCTTCCATTATCCTTATTGCTGAGATTGAACCTGACACAGCCAGTAGGAAGTTGTGCATATTTTTAATCCGATGGAGAAGAATATGGAAGTCATATGCTACATAATTGTTTTGATTGAAAATATTGAGATAAAAGTATAAATTTAAGTACAAAACTCTTATTTCCCATGATTGCTACTTGCCTGAATTTCCCATAGTAGCATTTATATGATATACCCATAATGTAAAATTGGAGCTAGAATGACACTTACCTCCAATAGCACAGATCAAAGACAATACTAGAATGATTTCAGGGAGGTCCTTGGGAGTGCTCAATAATACCGTCTTGAAAAATTCCATCCATGTGCCAGGAAGTTTGTTATAAAACGTTACATTGATATGGACTCCATATTCATCCATACTGTTGTTTCTTGCAGTTAATCTGAATGTGACTTTATTATGTATCTCTGTAAAATTCAGAGAGGATCACAGAAGCATGAAGTTTGCCTTCTAAGAGGCCTTCAGGTGGTTTTCTAAAAAGAAGGAAAAAACACCATTATTTCTCCTTTAATTATTTCTAGTGATATCTTATGATTTACCACAATTAGTAATGCCTCTCTCTTATGATACTTTCAACTTAAATGAAAGGGGCAGAATCCCTTGTGATGCAGAATAGCCAGTGACACCTTGGGTTCACTTACAATACCAAGCACTGCTCAATTTATTATCCACCCCACATCTACCCAACTATTTGAAAGAATTCTTTTGTTTTTCCTTATTGAATTTTGTTTTTTAAATTTGTTCTAATTAGTTGAAAGGATTCTTTATATAATCACAAACAGATTACTTAGATCTGGGCATGCACATGTTCTGGCAGCAACTCCAAGTAGGAAGTTGAATGAACATCACTTCTCGGCCTTTTGGCTAAGATCAAGTGGAAGTTGAATGAAGGAATAATATGCCAATCTTTATTGTTGCTTTATCTGAACAGAAACTAATAGCTTATGTTGTTACATATTCCTGACCTTCTTTAATCTCATTTGGAACACCAACAGGTGAGGTTTTCTTTAAGTTTTATATCTTTAAACAGCAATAAAAAATATGAGAAATATTGAAACCAAAAGAACTTACTTAATACTGGGTTAATCATTAATTGATAAGGGTTTGAAGCAATAGATAATAGCCACCTTCAGTTAATTTTATCTACTTTACATGGAAAACAGAATTTACATCAAAGGTCTTAAACTTCCTTCAGTGAATTCTTATTATTCTCTCATAAGAGTAGCTTGGCATTTCCTAGTACCTGCTCATAGCTTTCCCTCTGACAGCCTTGCTAAGTGACCAGTTAGTTAGTTACCATTAAACTTCCTCTCTAGTTCAGTGATTTGTCTTTTTAAATTCAGTTTCTGATATATATATGTGTGTGTGTGTGTGTGTGTGTGTATGTGTGTGTGTGTGTGTTCTTTTATGATTATGAAAACAATATTTTGAAAGAGAAAAACAAATTAATACATGTTTATTGTTGACTTTTTAAAAATAAACATGTAAACATTTCAAAAGCACTAAAAAAACCTCCATGCATATCATCAAGTGTCTTTTATATTTCATTTACATAGTTGAGCTCATCTTTTTAATATGTATACTTCTTGCTGCTTTTTACTTGTTACTGTATTGCCAGTATCTAAAAGCCTTGCAGACAACCCTTTACAAAGGTTGGTCATATTAGCAACAAAGTAAAAGTACAGACTCCTGTGGTCAGGCTTCCTGAACAGAAAGGTCTGACTGACAGGCTTCTGCTGGTAGGTTGAAAGACTGTGCAAACTAATTCAACTCCATTGGACTGTTTTCAAATCTGTATAGTTTCACAGTCTATGTAATTTTTATTCCTGTATTTATTACTTTTCAGAATCATCTGGGGGAGATATAGTGATACTAGGGGTTTGGGTCCTATCTGCAGAGATTCTGATTTAAATTTAATCTGGGGTTCAGCCTTGATTCCCCAGGTGATTTTAATGTGTAGTCAAAGTTAACAACCACTATGATCTGCCCAATTCAGAGGCAACATTGCTCAAGTTTGACCCTCCAAGTGAACTTTTCAATATTCTTGGTAACCCTTAAGAGAAAGGGTATCAGTGTTCTCCAACCAAAGACCACCAGAAATACCTCTGTGATTGATAGGTATTGTTTATTATTTGTTGCCACAAAGGAGATTGCTTACACTTGGATCCCTGAGACCTCTCAGTAAAAGGGTGTTAGATAGAACCCATTATAAGACATGCACTTAGACTGGGTCAATTTTGGAGAGGGTCTAAGGAACTTAAGGTTCATTCTAGCTAGGGTGTTGTTGAAAGGTGAGGCCAATTCTCTGATTGGGTATCCCAATAAATCTAGTTTTTGGAGAGAGCTGACTAGGGTGAAGATAAAGCAATACTTGGTAGGAGAGTGTGGGAATGTTTGTTGTTGCAAGGGTTGCACAGTGACCTTGTTTTGTCTCACTTTGTTGTGGTTTAGGATGACCTTAACTGATGTTCTGTGGGATAGTTTATGTCCAAGAGGGAAACAACTTGCTTTAGCCATTAGCATCAGGCCTGTTCTTTTAAACACTGAGCCCCAGCTATGAGACTGCCTTAGTTTAGTGTTTGTTTGTTTGTTTCCTCAAAGCACACTTAAACTCCTTATCCTGACCTTGGTATATCAAGAGTGAGAGGTAGACCTGGAGATCTTGATGTGAGTGATTAAGTTCAGCTGTGCCTCGTAAGTCGAGAGATTCTCGACCTTGGTTACACATGGCATTACCTGGAGAGTGTTTTTTAAAAGTACAGATGCCTGGGTGCCACTCTAAGAGGTTAATTGGCTTGGGGTGCAGCCTGGGCACTAGGAACTTTAAAAGCATCCCAGTGATTCTAACAAGCACACAGCTTTTAAAATCACTGCTCCTGGAGAAGTCCCTG